AGCACTGTATGTGCAGCTCCACACAGCTCAGCTCTGGCCACACAGTGCTCAGCACAGCTCTCCGTGCAGCTCTGCATGCACTGTATGTGCAGCTCCACACAGCTCAGCTCTGGCCACACAGTGCTCAGCACAGCTCTCCGTGCAGCTCTGCATGCACTGTATGTGCAGCTCCACACAGCTCAGCTCTGGCCACACAGTGCTCAGCACAGCTCTCCGTGCAGCTCTGCATGCAGCTCTGTGTGCAGCTCCACACAGCTCAGCTCTGGCCACACAGCGCTCAGCACAGCTCTCCGTGCAGCTCTGCATGCAGCTCTGTGTGCAGCTCCACATTCAGCTCAGCTCTGGCCACACAGCGCTCAGCACAGCTCTCCGTGCAGCTCTGCATGCAGCTCTGTGTGCACTTAAAAGGAGCACAGGCCACGCCCCCTAAGGAAGACCTGTGAGGAAGCACAATTAAGGAAACTGGTGGCAGCTGGCTGCAATTAACTAAGCAGCAGGGCCGTCACAAAAGTAAGGATGATTGGTCCAAGCACTGAACCCTGAGGAACTCCATGACTAAAAAATGCTTTTGTTTTCCAAAATTGGCTGAAAATGCCTAAGCTACAGATGATAATTTGCAAAATTTTCCACAATTTTGTGTTATCAACTAATCTGGAACAGCTCAGTGAGATACCACTCTTAGTCTTTTCTCTCACAAATGATTTTTTTCTCTTACTAGAGGAGCATTAATTGTCATGTGTGCTAATACTTTTGCAGCCTTCATCCTCCTGTTCCTTTGATGGAAGCTTGAAGGCTGAACAATCAGACTCGGAGCCAAGGTGGCCTGAAGTGCCACCAGTTCTAAATCAGAATGAGGACCGCAGGCGGAGCAAGTACCTGAGAAAAGACTACCTAAAAGTACGGGCATGTGCATAATCCTTTGATTCCATGTATCACTCACCACTTTTGATGCCAAGTTGCACGTTATGGTTTGGCTTTTTCACGAGAACTCCTTTTTCAGTCCAGTTTTATTGGTGTGTTTTCAGCAGAAAGGTCTCAGGTTGCAATTATCCACAGAAAATTAGTTGTTCATTTCTGTTTGCTTAGAATGACTGGTGACAAAAAGGGTGCGCTTTTGTAATCTGAGTGAACATTAGTTTTGTTAAAGTAACTAAACTTAGCACAAAAAGTAAGGATATTTATGTTTGGTAGATTGTTCCTTTGCTGTAACAATGCTTCTTGGCAGTAAATCTTATACCGTTGGAAAGCCTGTTATTTTTCCTTTTAAATARTGCCAYATTTGTAAGGAACAGCATTTGTCGGCAGTAGAGCTGAGTATGTGTGTTGCACACATGAAAACTTTGTCAAATTTTCTCTGCCAAACTGTTTATTTTGCTGTTGAAATTGAAACTTGTTTTGAGCTTCTGTACCTTCAGGTGCTGCCCATCAGGTGCCCCATATTTTTATTTATTTATTTGTTAGTTTATTTGGCAGGCATAATGCATACAAACATAGAACAGATCAAGTTTGTAATTGATGCATTGCAAAAAGAGTCTATAGCTACAGCTAATTTGCAACTCCAGTCCCTGGTTAGGCATTTCTAAACATTAAAATACATAAAGTCATCAAAATACACTAAAAATGCACATGTATTTCTGCCTACATAATCATGTAATCAACCATGCAACCTCCAAATTTATTTAATAAAAACTATGCATTAAATTATGTACCTTAAAAACTGTATATACAATTTATAATTCATAAATAATACAAAAACAAACTTTTCCTCTCTACATATTAATRAATAGCCTTACAACCCACATCCTCAGTACCTCTCCATCTTCACACATTCAGCTAACATCCTAAGAATTATAGCTRTAATACTAACTCACTAACACATACAGTCCCACACAGACTTTCTCAACCAATAAAACTGCTAGAAATGATCACATCTTTGGTTTTCCTTTAGCCAAGATTTAGTCATATGGACGAATATTTTAAGTTCAGGAGCAGCTTTTACTTGTGGGGCCAACAAGTTCCATAAAGTTGTACTTTTATACGAAAAAATGGTCTGACCAATCGAGGTTCTACATAGGGGAGATATGCAATTCTGTTGTAGCGATCCTCTAGTGAAGCTGATATAAGGTTTATTGCCAAGAAGCGTTGTTACAACAAAGAAATAATCTACCAAACACAAATTTCCTTACTTTTTTGTGCCAAGTTTATAAGGGTTTTTGAGAAGGCCCAAGTTTTTTCAACCATTTGAAAATGATTGTTGCAACAGGTGTTTGCTCATCCAAGGAATTCGAAAGAATCAAATAACAATATTCCTAATGTTCCTTTGACATCAAACATCTGTCCAAGCTGAGACAAGGTAATAATAGGTGAAACAGTTAGCGTCCAAGCATCACAAATATGTTTGTTTTTCTTTTCTTCTTGCAGTATAAGTGTCAGACTGCTCGTAAAAGCTCCAGCGGTGGTGATGACTGTGAGGTGAGTTAGAAAAGCTCATGTATAATCCCATCTTTTCTCAKCTTGGCTCATTTTGAGAGTAATAGATGCATTTGTCCTCAGGAGAGTTTACGCTATGCAGATTTCAGCACCACTTTGACAGTGTTTGGACTGAAGCCAAGATCAGGTAATAAACATGTTTATCTGTTTTTTTTTTAACACATTTGGTAATAAATATCTCCCACTGGTTTACAATGTTTATTTATTTGAGAATGTGGAAAATTCCATTGTGCTCATATAACCATGCACCCTTGTATAGGTTTTCAGCTGTGGTGAACACAGTTTTGCTAAACAGCCAACAGCTAATAGCAGAATTAACTTTTTGTTTAGCTTGTTAGCCTTTTGCCAACTGACATTGTTAATGTTAAGACACAACATTAATGAATCAATTAGCTTCCTCATAAAACTTGATGGTCAGCATGAAATAATGTTATGCCAAGCAAACATGCATGATAAGTAAAACCCATAAACGTCACCCTCATGCCAGGATTCTCATGTTTTCCCTCTCAGTGCTTCCCCCTTTATAAACACTGGGAAGAACTCCTGAGTCATGGTGTCGGTTTACAGCCAATAACAGACTTTACTGCCAACTCCAGAGCCCCTCCCCTTTCCAAAGAATTGATAAGTGGTCTGACTGAACCCAAGCTGCAGTCAGAGCAGAGAGCATCCTTTGCTGCAAATGATAACGCGTGTGCAAAGCTGCTGTTGCTATCAACCTGGCTTACAAAGTGGGATATAATTTTTACTGTAATGTGTTTTTTTTGATCTGACACTGTCACGCTAAAATAAACCCCATGACCTACAGCATCAGTCACTTCTTCACCTCGTGCACAGTCTGTGACATCTAATAGTCTGTTGGGTGAATTTGATATTCTCACAAAATTCATTTATTCGATGTGGATCTAAGCAAAACATTAAAGTAATGAAGTTATTTCATTTCATAGTTCATTTGTATTTCTAAACATGTTTTAGAGCTTTCAAAAAAAAGTTTCAAAAAGCCAAACATGACTGGACTTATATTTTGAAACTTGACGTTTTGCTTCCCATCCAAGAAACTTCAATTCAAATAAATTTGGGGAAGGACATTCTTCATCAGCATATTTTGAGTGTTTTGACAAACTTTTCCCCTCTTCATTATTGACATACTGTAAATCTTTCCTACTGCCTAGATCTCAATAATGGCAAATGCCCAAATGTGAGCAATGCATGGGTGCATAGGGGAGTGTTGAAGCTGAGGCTCGTGTGTTTAATTTAAACCTGAAGCCCTTTTATCTCTCTCTGTCTCTCAGCGAAGCTTTCCCTGGAAGTGGGGAAAGGTTTTCTGTGGAACTGTCTGTGTGCTGCTGTATTTGGCCATATAATGCTTCTGAACTCAGTTCACACATGAATTTTGGCCTCGGTGTGAAAAGAGATCAGGATAGTCCTAATTACTGTTGATTTATACTTCCATGGAAAAAAACTCTACTGTTGGAAGGAAAATCCAGATTTTCAATGTAGTGTAATGCCATGGCCCCCCAAATAGCATTAGCATCTGACCAGGGACCCCCCCACCCCCCCAGCAAAACCACTAAAAAAGGGGGGATGCTACAAAACATGTAGAAACAGAAACTTTTAGAATTGTTTTCCTCACCTTTATTCACTAGTCAATAATTATTACATTTATTTAACAGAATATGTTTTTAACAAACATGTTTTAAACATCGCTATATTCTCACTGGAAAACCAACTTTTTAAAAAAATTGTTGACAAAAAGAACAGAACAAAATACATCAAATGTCTTTTATATAACATTTTAAAAATATTATTATAAATTGTACGATTCAAACCTTTATTAGATTAAATGAAAATAATCTTAAGTTCCCTTCAGCTTTCTGAGGCTCTAATAGTGCCCACTTGTGGCTCGACTTTGAACACCACTGGTGTACAGACCATCACAACAAGGAACCAGGGTGAACTTTATTAAATGAAACAATCTTAAAAAGCAGAACAAGAGGACAACAGGAAAACACAACAAAAATCTTTGAACCACAGCACAAAAAAAATAAAACCTCACAGACTGAACCAGCCACGTGCACATAAATGTTAATTAAAAATATTAAATCATTATAACTCATACCATAAGTTATAACACAGATGTCACTCGTGTTCCTTTAATACATTTTATGGCAGGCCATTATGACATATATTGTGACATATAATCAAACCACAGTTCTATCTCTAAATTTAATTAGACACCAGTTTTCGTCCTAGTCAACATTACATGTAAACTCATAAGAATTAAAACAAAAAATGTTTAATTTAATAACCCTGCTTATAAAACTAATATAATAAGGTCTCCCCAATTAAGTATGCATTAGGAAAAAGTTAGCTTAAAATTTCTAAAAGTCAGTGAAACGTTTATGGCTGTACAGGAGATGTATTAGTAATTAAAATTTTCTAGTCAAAACTAACATTTAAAATATACATAAAGCTCTTCTTCCTTTTCCATGATCAGCATTTGAGATACAGTAAACATCTTCCTGTCTGGGATAAATGATGTATGTATGCTGAACTTCCAATTTCAGTGTTTCAACATATATGATATGATATAGTATCATGCTGTATATTTGATGTGATTCAGTCAGAGGGGCTGTAGGCCTATAAGGAAGGAGAGGCATCTTGTTCTAAATAAAATAAATGGTTTTAAAGTCACTGTGTAATGTTTAAGTTCTAACAAATACCTAAACTCAAGTACTACTTGTTTTGAAAAAAAAAAAACCTGTGCCAGGACACCCCTATGGGGGTCAGTTTTGCAGTCTCATAATCCTGAGGCTGCAGGTTTGAGCCAAGGTTGCATCAGAAAAGTCTTCTGGCAATAAATCTTTTCAAATCTTTAATGTACCTTCGTTCACTGTGGCGACCCCTGAAGAATGAAGCAGCTGAATAACAACTGAGTTTCAATGAATGTAGAGACCATTTTTTTGGCTAAAATGCTAAGTTTTGTTTTGTTCACAGAATATTTTAATTTCAGAGGACTTGATCTGAAAACAGTGATAGTAAACAGACATCCTGCTTCAGTGTCAGTGTGGGTTAAGTTATGTTGTAAATCTAATGGACTCCCATCATGCTGAAGCAAAGCAGACCTCACATGTCCCGAGGTTAGCCTGACTGTCATTAAACGCTCCTTCTAAGACCTTTTGTTTAGTTTGCACATCTTACTGTGTTTTATCTGGAACTCAACGCAGCTCTCTGTTTTCCAGCCTTCACCAAAGGAAACCGTCAGGACATCAGCTCAACAGACCCCAGCTTCACCATGAGGAGGAAGATGGAGCATCTAAGGGAGGAGCTGGAGCAGATAGGACTGTTACGACAGGTCAGATGCCTCGCAGCTTGTTTATGTCTATTCATTGTTCACAGGCTCATAATAAACTCTGGTTTTGTTCCAGTGTTTACTCCTTCGAGTAACGGAGTGAAAGCTAAATGGAGCTAAATGTCCGGGGTGATGCATTTTTCCTCTTGAGTGTCCCCAGACTTTCAGAGACATCATAACATTACATAAGGATCCAAGTCCTGTTCCACTGTTTTGATTTGTCTCATTTTATTTGGCCTTTGTAGTAAAATACACTGAATTGAAAAGAGATGGATATGAATGGCTTTACTACAATAAATGCACCGAAACTATTTAAAACTGAAAGTAGTAAAAGGTGCATTCCTTATATAAATCCATATGGCTCATTGCTTTGTATTCTAAACTTTTAGACAAGCTCTCACAAGCACTTAAATTATACAATGAGGATAGTTATCAGATTAATACCACTCCATGTTTTAGCTCTGCAAATCTGACATGGTTGGAACCATTTTGGCATTTGCCAAGGTTGATTTTCTGTAGTTGTCATCTTGAATCAGGTCGACTCCTGAAGGTAATCTGTTGCAGATGTACATCCAAAGAGACAGTTCTTCATCAAATTGCTTCCAAGGGGGTTCCATGCCCTGCAGAGACCAACCATGTACCCAAAACTGCCAACACTTTTTTTTCCATTTGAAAAAATGACAACAGGTTGCCATGTGCTACAGATCTACACAGGTACAGGAGCCAACTTGCCATCCACTATTGTGAAGATATTAAACCTGAGGGAAGGGAGTTGAAAGGCAGACTCTCCCTCATGAGTTACTTTGATATTTTGGTTATGATTTACGTCTTTGTGGCTGAAATATGGATTTTTTATGTGAGGAAAAAGAACAACATGTCTGTTTACTGGTTTAACCTTTTCTGGGTCTCTATCCATGGTGGTGGGAAAACTGAGGTTTTATGTCCATTCCTGGCTCTGAAAACACTGGTTGACTATTACTACAGTACACACTGTTCAAAAGAAGAATAAGAGAAAACAGATGAATGTGTTGAATTTGCTCGTAAGTCATTGATGTCAATGATTTTTAATTTATTCATAGCTCTGAAATTATCAATTGTTGACTATTGGCATTCACACCTGACACATTTGGTCCACTTTAAATAGACCAGAGTTTGTTTCCCCCATTGGTCCAGACCTTTTATGCAGGTGTGAATACACTCATGTACACCCTGGTGYGGACTGAGACCCACTTTTGAGGTGGTCTTGGCCCGCTTTTAAATGAACTCTGATGTGGTTCACTTCTGGTCTGATTACAAAGCGGCCTTGAATTGAAACAACTACAGTAAACATGCACCTTTTTGGACTTCCAGAGCCACTGTTGATAAGCATCATGGTAACAATTAGACCTTCACTGCTGCAAACACTACCACTGCGCTACAAACTATGAGCCATTGTGGGTCATGGAACATGGAGCATCTCGTCTCCTTTGGGTTGCGCCACGCATTTGCCACCGTCGTCCCAAAATTAGAAGTAAATCATCACAAAGCTGCTTTTGAATGAGATGCTCTTTAAATTCTAAATGTATCGCTATTGTATTAAACAGCACATTCTTTATTTCCTGGTCTGTGCTCTGTCCTGTCCCCATCATTTATGTTCAGTGTGAGCAATGATTGTCACGTGTGGATTTGTTTATTGTCCACTTGCAAAAAAAGCACAGTGTAAACGCAAACTACACCAAATGAAAAAAACTAAAATCTGCTTTTGGTCCAGACCAAACAAGTGGACCAAAGGACCTTCCTGGTGTGAATACACCATATAAATAAATTAATAATGTGAATAAATTTACAATCATTGTCAGCCAAAACACCAGAGGCCATTTTAACTGATATGATTGTTTTAAACAGGTGTAAAAAAGGTAACCTCATAATCAGCAATAAGGCTGTACATTTTGATTAGTTTAAAGATAACTCAAGACTAGAAAAAACCCTAAACTTTATCAAACAGAACAAAAGGCTGACATGGCATCAATAAGAAAGAAAATAGCAAAACTCGAGGAGATATGGAGGAGAACTGGACATGGCGTGAAAGCACTCATGTTGCCCTTGCAGGTGTAATGAAGACTGGGAGATTAAAGCCTGCTGAGTCGTCCATCCAAACCTGCAAAATCTTCTCTCATTGTTGCAGGTGCTTGACGAAAATCATTTTGCCGTTGTCTGAGGCAGTCAGAGAGTATAGCCATCTCTATGACCCTTCTAGGCAGGTATAAAGTCAAATGTCCAAAACGTATGGATGGAGGTAGCAGAGACATTGTGCATGGGGGAATCTGCATACATCTTAAGTGGTACAGATTGTAAATTACATGGATTTCCCCATTTTTTGAAAACCCAGTTTCAAATTTATTTTACATCTCAGAGCCTGTAGGACACAAAAAACTCAAAAACAATAAATAGGAATAAATAACAACCCGCTCTGCTGATAGAAACAAGTTTGCCACCTCTCCCTGCTTGCTATCTGCGCGTCACATTCTGGATTTCCCCACGACCGACAGTTCCCCACCCCCCACATGTGTGAATAATACAGATATGAAATTTTGAGGATCATGATAGAGATAACCGCCCAAAGKGGTTGACGTATGGATCTGTCTGCCAAAAATGTGTGGTGCTCTATATGTAACAGATTTGTGGCCAAATGGCAGATATATCAGGAAGAAACCTGTGCGTTGACATCCACAGCAGCTGGAGGCGTTTCCCAGGAGCTCGGCTCGTAGATCCTGAAATGTGTGTGTGAAAACAAACTTTGAGCAACCACGTGGCCAGGAGTCGGCTGTCCAGCTTTGGATGGACCATGCTGGGCCCTTTAGAGAGGGGGCTGATGAGAAGAGTGGAGACACCTGGGCAGAATGACAACAGGGAACAGGTGGAAGAAGGAGGGACAGAACCAGGGAGTGAAGCCTGACTATAGAAACGTGCCGAGGATAGCTGGAAACCCAGGGAGGCAATGGGACAAAAACTGAACATGAACATACAGAAACTACACATATAAGAATAAACAAAACTTTAAACAGAAGAGTGATGGCTTGCCATCCTTTGATACACAAGCTGTGACATTCCCTGTTTTTCTCAGCTGTTTCTTTTTCAAACAGCTGACTTCTTGTTTATTAATGAGAAGAACAATTCATGGAAATTTCTGTCAAGTCATTCCTAGGAATGTCAGCTGTGCAGCTGACTGAGCTCACAGCAGGAACGCTCTGAACGACTGGAGAAAACCATACTGCTTCAGTCATGTCGTCAAATTAAACATTAAGCCACAGGAGCAGCATGACACAAAAATGTAGCTGTTTTTCACAAGAGACATTTTAAAACTGTAGTAGATCTTGAAACTGGAAACCATTCTATTTTCTTTTGAGATGATCTTTAAACATGCAGAAATAAAGAGGCTAGAATTCAGTTTCGTTCTTTTTTTTCCCTTCAGAGTTAAAGCAAACCTGATTCCTCTGGTAATTTTAAAACCATCCCTACAGAGACAGAAAATATGCTCACAATGATGAGAAATTTGACGGTTATTAAGGATTGAGACAGAGATAGAATTTTATGCCATGCGAGTTATCAACCAATATATTAATAAGTAGGTGAAACTTTATTAATACAGCACCTTTCAAAATAAAAATCACAAAGTGCTTCAACAGACAGAACAACAAATACACAAAGCAAATTTAAAAACAAAAGAGACTGTCTCCTTTTAGTTTTCAGTTTTGTATTAGGAACAATCAGCAGATCTTGATCACAGGACCTCAAGGTCCTGATGGGAGTGTAGGGATGTTAAAATATTGTACTAAATAAGCATGTCAGTCATCAATTCCTCACAAAATCACTGCGGGCAATGATAGCATCTTATAATTGATTCCAAATCAAACAAGTACCGGTTTTTCGTTCCATCCCAAATGAAACTAGAATGCATTACGTGACATTTTCAGCACATTTCTGATAACATATCGGGTGATCAGATGAGAACTTGCTGTTCCAATAAAACCCTTCCCCTGTCTGATGTCACAGGTAGCCTTTTGACAGTGTCCACCCACGCTTACAGGAACCAACATGTTGATTTTAGACTGGTGTGGATCATTCGAATCTGCCACCAGCTGCAGAGATAAATTATAGCTGTGGTTTGTCTTACTGCTGCTGTTTACAAGTTGTGGTAAATATACCACAGCTGGAGAGATCATTGTCTGATCGTGTAGTTTCTGCGAGGTGTGTCAGGAAAAGTGAGTACTGTGACAACTTTGGTGCTTTGGACTCACAAAACATGACAAAGTTTTGTTTGTTTGTCCTCGAACTCCTTAAACACCAATCTGATGGAACCTCTCAGTGTTGAGTTGGTGGTCATAATGTTTGGACTGTTGTTCCCGTGTGTACAGAACATCGAGTCCAGACTGAAGGTGTTGCTTCCAGATGATGTCGGCGCTGCTCTGATGGATGGAGTGGTCCTCTGCCATTTAGCTAATCACATTTCCCCTCGTTCTGTTGGCAGCATTCACGTCCCATCGCCTGCAGTAGTAAGTAATCTAAAACAATCCCTGCAGTCAGATATTCTGAAAAGTTTTAACTTTATCTTAAATAAACTTCTCCTCAGAGACATTTTGTGCCGATTTCAAGTAATAAAGTGTGATCCTGATTGGTATGTTAGCTGTGCCGTATTGGGGCTGTAGTGAAATTTTGTGAGCTAAAGTGCCTGTGACATCCTTCAAATACACAAAGTCAAAGAAAACATATTTATATTTAAGACACTTAGATAATACATGTGTCTTTTTCTCGCTGTCACATAAATGGCATCAGTTCTTTTGAATTTGGTTCAGTCAAAATGAAACAGGAAGTGACATCAAAGGGGAACTCTTTAAGAAAAGGAACTCACTGGTTTTTCTTCATTCAAACAATATTATTTGAACTCTTGACTCTTCTTCATCTCTCTTATAATGACTTAAAAGAAACATCAGATTCTTTTTTGCAGTCTGTTAGTCATTTTAGCAATGTTTAGTTTACATGCAGACATTCCCCTTTGACATCACTTCCTGTTACTACAAATGCAAATATCTCAACAACTGTTTAAGATGTGTTTTTTTTATTTCCAATAGCATTTGTTACCAATGTTATCTTTACAAAAATGTGTTCATATTTATTACAAAAAAAAAAGATGTCACAGGCACTTTAATGAATATGTGTGCAATTTGCAAGTATTTAAAAATAGAAAATGGGAATTTTGTTGCTATAGTGCTTGCAGTTCAGGTATTTCCCACCATCTAATTAAATGGGTTWTATTATGCTCTGTGCTGTAAAAAATATGTAAACTTGGAATGCTGGAATACTTAAATGTCTTGGATTGATATTTGGGACGAAAAAGTCCTTGATCTGAACATTACCCTTTGACACTTCTACACTAATACTGTCTGCATAATCCTCAAATAACACCATTCTTCCCAGTTTTGTTTGTTGTTTTTTACAACCATTTTTATGCCAAACATAAGAATCTAACAGGATAATGTTGTGGATTGCAGCCAAAGCTGAGCATGGCAAAGTGCCGCAGGAATGTCGAGAACTTCCTGGATGCTTGCAAGAAGCTCGGTGTCCCACAGGTAATCTTTTAAAATCTTGTAATCTGTTATTTCCAAATGTTTTTGCTGCTACGGACCTTATTTCTTGTCAGTGTTGAAGATTTATGACCTTCARCCATATTTAATAACTGAMTRCAAAAGATAAAKTAAAAACCTGCAATGACCCGTCAGTCTACTGCACAAGCTATGTCACGCCCTCGTTGGTACACAGAAACATCTAACTGATAATGCAAAATAAAACAGTTTATCACTTGAGAAAATCTGCCTGACAAATAGGTATTTAAAAAGTAAATAGTGGTAGACACGCCTGACTTTAATCCTACCTGTACAAATGATGAACTATGCCTCTGTGTTAATGCAGGACAAACTGTGTCTGCCCCATCACATCCTGGAGGAGCGCGGCCTGGTGAAGGTCGGCGTGACGGTCCAGGCTCTGCTGGACCTGCCCGCGTCCAGGTCCACTCATCTGTCGACTGTTTGACTCGAGCGGAAACGCTGCATGTGTCCTRCAGTCACATAGCCTATCTCTCTTCTCAGACTAAATCTGCACACCTCTGCAGGGACTAAATACCCCCCCCCCCCCCCTCCCCCGTCTGAGTGAAGCCCCAATGGCTGGTGGTTTATTAACAGTCTGCTTCTGCCTGACTGAAACAGGAGACGGCGTGAGGAGGAGCCTCCTTTTATGACGTCAGGTGGAAGCAAATTTGTCATATTATCCCTTGTGTTGTGTACCTTGTTACTGGGGACMCCTTGTTTGTGTGTGTGTGATTCTTGAGCTGCAGCGTGACCGCAGGTTTCTTAAAAACACTTATGCCTCTTCCTTCCAGCTGTAATTAATGACTCTGTAAGTGACTGCACGTTCCCGGCGTTACACAGGACTGCGCTGAGTTCGCAGAGATGTAACTCACGTTTTCACTTTTTTGCAACAAAGTTGTGTTTGTTCTATGGCCACACGTTTCAAGTCATAAAAGGAGCGTGACTTATTATTTTTTTTATTTGCAGTGAGCTGCATTTCAGCATCTCCTCTGCTTTGCTTGAAGAGAAGATGAAGAAGAAGCAAAGCGTTGAGTTCCTGGTGTTGTTTTTTTTTTATTTTTTATTTTTTAAACTCGACCAGGTTTGCTGAGCTTCTGTCTGGCTTTTTCAGCAATCTTTAAACCTCCTTACGAGTTGTGAACTTCTTTTTTTCACAACCCTTTTGTACGCACCAAGGGATGTGACATCAGACCACTGTGATAACACACTTTGATTTATGCCAAAAGCATGACATATTTGTAGCTTTTTCAATAATGTTTAATTTATTTTTAAAATGGTGTCATGCATTTYTCATCATATTTTGCCACTTATTACTTGCCATGCCTGCAAAGACCACAGTATTTACTGCAGTTAGATTTTTTTTAATATAACCTCAATTGAAATGCCAATATTGTACTTTCTATCCATGTATGATGGTCCTTTGGATCAGAAAGAGCATCTTTATGCAAATCTTTCATACTCAGCCTGGTGATATTTTTTATACGATCCCCCTGCTGTTCAAGGTTTCTCCTACAGTTTATTATTTTTTAGTGAAAGTGGTTTTTTTTACTTGTTTTATTGCCCTTGGGTCAAGATGACCTACAAGGCTCCAGTGTTAAAGTTGAGGTCTCGCAGGTCTTTTTGACCCAAGGGCAGCAGGTGGCTGAACTCAACCTTATGTAGCTGAACATCTGTCTTTCTTGGGTGTTTTTCTGAATGCTGCTGGCTTCTCTGTCAATGAGAAAACGCCGCTGAACTGCAGCTTGAGAATCACTTAGTAAGCCAACAAAACACAGATAAACATTCATCCAAAATGGCAGCTCATGCAAACCCCCACAAATAAATAAAATAACTGTGACGTTCTCTAAAAAGCACGAAATTAGRCACAAATGGTGAAAAAAATTACGTCTTAGTCATTTGTAATAAATCATTTAAATAACAAACAATTCTTAATGCTTTCTTATTTTCAGCATGTCTGATTATATCTTCTTTAACAAGAGTCACGGGCTCTTTAGCTTTAAGCAAATCACAGCTGTGTGAGTCTTTTTTGTGTGGACAGTTTTACTTTATCTTTATGCAGCTCTAATCATAAAACTAATAGGGTTCTAAATCATAAGTTGTCAAGTTCAACGATGCACCAGTCAAGCTTTAAGAAGCATGGTGTCAGTCCTGACATAATGATACAGTATCTTGTCCAAACGTTTGTTTTATGAATACTTTATCGATCTTTTTGAAGGCATACAGCAGCTTCAAAAAGGTATCAGACCTCCCTCACTTTTTACAATTTTGTTGGAGATTGATGTTACAGTTGATTTCTTTTAATTCATGCATGTTTAAGAAAAGAAAACAAAGAATTTTAAAGATTTTTCACACCTTGAAAAAATTACATTTACACAAGCATTCAGATAATTTACTTAGTCCTGACTAAACCTTCTGGAAGCCCTTTGACCTCATAGCTTATAGTTATGGCTATAGTGATTAAGGATGGATAAAGAACCCAAATGAGTGGGGGCTTCATAAGTGGGCCCATTGCTCTCCCCAAAAGGACAGTGAGCTTTAGTCAAACCTTCATATCCCTGGAATGAAGGACACAAGATCAGAAACAGGTGTTCCAAACTTCTCTGGATCCATAAATGGGTCTCCAAGCGTTCTTTTCCTTTGCTGGGAGCCATGCAGTGGACTACGGTTTCTAATTTAATGTCACAAGCATCACACATACCATTGGCATGGAGTCCCATAACCATTTTGTGGTGATTAAACAGGTTGTTCCCAGTTAGGACTCCAACCAGTGTACTTAGATGTTTTCCTTGTCAGGGAAATGAGAGCTTTGGGCCTTAATCAGATTGTCTGTAATTTACTCAGATTTTCTCTCATTTTGCAGGATTACAGACGTTTAGAGCAATCTCATGGATCTTTTAAAAAAAAACTCAACTTCATATTTATTTTCTCTCAGAGCCTAGGACGTTAAAAACAATAAATAAAATTAAATAACCCAACCATTGTCCTATTTTTCATCTGGAAATAAGTTCACCACTCCACTTCTGTTGAAATGCTATAAAAAACTTTGATGCCAGCRGTTCATTTTGTGTTGTAATTTAGCCTCTGACAGCTAATTGGCAGCAGCCAGAGCCATTTGGCTCCTCCACTCCCAAAGACGTTGGCATTGTGAGTAAACATAGGCATCAAGTACCGATGGCTGAATCTGAGCAGATTAGATCRGCACTTACTGCCTTCAAACCTGAGGTTGGGTTGTCAACTTTCCCATATTAGCTGGGATGTTCATATTTTAAGCCAAATTGAAGTGTCTTGTATGGGACGCTCTTTCTCCCGGCTACGACCTGCAGTCATCCGTCACAATACGGAAGGCAAATAGRCATTTCATCTAGTGGCCCCCAGCTGAAGAGGATCTCTAAGGGATGGTACTGAAGTGGCCAAATGCATTGATCATATGAAACACCAAATGCATTGAAATGACTCTTGTGTTCTTGCTACCCCTTAAGGTTCCCCTCGATGGAAACAAAGGCAGCAGCAGCGTCATTTCATCCATTTACTGAACTAAAGCACAAGACTATTGCTAGTGTGGTGGGTGACCATATTTTTATAACTATTATTATGAATCTAAAAGCTGCCACTAATATATTATCAAACTATTTTAATGGCACATTTGGCCTAACCATTGAAAACATGGAAGAAATAAGAAATATGTAACATAAAGTACATATAAAACTGCTTTTTTAATTCTAATTTTTCAAAAGAAAAAATGGCCATGTATGGCAATATATCGCGATCGTATCGTGACCCCTGATATGCATCAAATCTCCAAATTCTTGCCAAGAAACAGCCTACAAGTGGATGTTTATCCATGGTGATGTGGCTTCACTAATATGACCTCCAGCTGCACAGGCCTTTCTCATTCAGACATGATTCAGCAACAAAGAAGACAAGAAGTCCCAAGAGTTGAYTTTGAATTCTGAGGAAGATGCAGCAAATCAATCTGCTCAAACCCTGGTGGAGGTTTAGTTTCCTCTGCTGGAATCACTCAGCGATGTCAGAATCTTGTAACAATTTAGCAAACAAAGAAAGCTGCAATATGCAGCCCCAAAAAACAGGAAATGCTGTGCCTTAAACAAAGGGTATCTTTTTTCATGCTTGTTGAAATAATAAATAGTGTGAATCACATGTAAATGAAGAAGAGTCATTCTAAAAACTCAACCTATAATGAATGAGAGTCTAAAGGCTGATTTATGCTTCCATCCTCACATCTCACTCACGATCTCGCGTGACAAAAATTGCGTTGCTCCCGTCTGTTCCCTCCCATTGACACCGTCTTGTACATTGCTGCCAGTCAGAGCTGTGTCTTGCAGATGTGGCTCACAGCATGTAATTGTTCAGAACTTTGTGGTGTGTTTGTTTATATGGAAAGGCGCATGCTTCTATTGCATGTCATGTTGCTAAAAATGGTCAGTTTCAAGAAGCTGGCTGTTTCAAGACAGACAACTTCAAGGAGCAGTTCGTCTGATCCTACTGAGCATGTGRACATGCCACCAACTTCCACAACTTCTTTTCATCTTTGCTGTTATCAAGCAAAACAACAACTTGATCTTCGTCCTCCAGTTCCTCATCTAACAACACGAGTCTCACTATCAATGTCTGAGTGAAAACAAAAACAACAATCTATCCTGCTATCACTGTTGTCATTTAAATGCTCAGCTATGTGCAACGTACAGTATGCTACTGTGGGAGGGCAGAGAGAGAGAGTAAATGGTCAGTGGACTGTACTTATGTAGCACACACATCTGCTGTCTAACATCTATTTGGAGTATAAACCAGCCTAAACTCCCATCACCCCCATACAACCCTGTAAGAGAGTAATTAGGCTCTCTAAACCCGGGTCATTGAGTGAAACAAATTAAATAAAAAAACTCAGTTGTGCTCAGACCATCATTCACACTAGTTCTGTTTTTTTTCCTGTCAAGTGCCAGTTAACAGAGTCAGTATAACTGCGGGCATTATGCGTGTGTCTTTGACTGTATTTCAGTAGAACTGCTTTCATTTCATTATTTTTCTCAGTAGGTGTCATTATTGTGTTTTGTGTATTCAGGTAGATGCATGCCACAGTACTTATGTTTTTTCAGGCCTGAGTGACATCACATCATTAGTACTATCGCTCAGTTTTCCAACCTCGTCTTTCAGCTGAACTGTCCAAATAGATCCCGGGGAAAGAACCACCCTCATGTGGGCCATCTTATATTCATGGTCCTGTCATCACTTGACACATGCCGCGTGTTTATGTTGTCAACACTTATTACGTTACACCCCGTTTCTCTTGAGTTTGCTCCATTAACGGAAACAAAAACCCTAACGTGCAGATTTAACACTTCGGAGGAATCCTTTCATCACACTATAATTTATGAGCAAAAAATAAAAATAAATAAATATTGGTGAGTTCAAAACAAACTCATTTTGATAGATTTTCTTGTTTTTGAGAATAACCAGATTCTCACTTCTTACTGATATACATACAGGTTATATATACGTCTATACGTTGTTGCCAAGCTGCCAAAAAAAATCTGTTTTGAAGTTCAGCCAAAGACAATTTTACCACCGGCTATTATGTAGAAAGGATGCTTTAGTGTTGTGAAGTTTTATCTTTTGCATCAAACATATTACCCGACTGCTGTGGCAAAGATTTCCTTGTTTTAAAAAGGCTGCACTTTCAGAGGATTATTTTCAGGGGTGTTCCTCTTCTTACCGAGCACAAAGACATCTTCATTTCTCTGGAAACCACTTCACACAGAGTCGCGTCAAGGCCAAGGAATGATTCACTAGCAGAGACTGATTCATGATGTTTTTTTAAAAATAGATTCAGACATACAGCATTTTATTTCAGAAACAATATCTTATGTTTTGTAGGTGGCTTTTTGAATAACTTCAATTCTTTAATAACTTTAATTGTGACCAGATTGACACTAGCTATCAGTTAGTCCAAGTCCAAAGTGAGTTGCTGCCTAAAATACCCATCCATCCTTTCCTTTTATTACTTGATTCTACTTGTTTATTACAACATCACAGAAAGTTTTTATTGAAGTTTATGCAATGCTTTTTTAAAACTTTTACAATCCTGTCAGTTTCACATGACTGAGTTATTCCAGCAAATAATATTATGGTATTCCTGCCAGAAGTGCTGCTGCCACTTTATGTGCTGGCATACAACCAAAACAAACATTGTGTAAATATGCACATAACGTGAAATTAACAGGTGCAAACTAGCATTCCCATGAAACTTTTGAGGCTGGAGTTGTTTTAAAACTTTAATCTYGGCCATGTTCAAACTAACCGTTAGCCCACAGGTGTCCGTTGTTGGTCCTCGAGGGCCACCTGCGTGTTTTGTTTCTCTGCTTCAGCACAACAGATTCAGTTATTTGAATTACCACTTCAAATTCTGCAGAAGCCCGGTAATCATGCATTGGTGCAAACCAGGTGTGTTGGAGGACTGGTGTTTGACACCTGTGCAATTTACACATAAACCTGGTCAAAAATAAACTCGATTTCTCCAAACTCAGGTTGTTCAAAAAGATATCTGCAACATGTAAGATATTAATTGTTCAAAACCTTACATGGAACCCTACTTCACAAAACTGTTGCTTTTATTTTGAAGGCAGACTTAATACATTGCAAAGTATCGTAAAAGGGGGAAAAAAGGCCAAAGGTCAAACTTACGTTTTACCAAATGGTGTCTACTATAAAATTTCACTGTGCTTCACTGCAGGATTACTTGTATTTGGATGTTAAGTAGGTGACTAATAGTTTTTATAAAAATACATTTTGAGGCTTTTGGTGAAGTTTATTCATTTTTTAGTACAAAACACTCCCTTTAAAACAACTTTAAACATGCAATCTCAGCAGCGTGGAAAAATAAAAATGGTGCGTTATTTTCTCCAGGTAGTGGTGATCTTTGTCTCAACATGTGAACACTTCAATGCACTTACTGCATCCTTGTCTTTGGTTTGAACTTTCATGTTATTATACTATGCTCCTCTTTTTTAACCTAACAGCTTATGTTTTTATCCAGATTAAACAGTGAGTCACATCTTAATGCTACACTGCCAAGACAGTTCAAGCATATGTACATTAGCTTTTTTTTATTGTATTCTAGTCTGATGCATGCAAGACTAACCGGAGAGATGAATCTCTGTACATATAATCTGTAAAAAATTCAAGTTTTTTTTAAAGACAAATAAGGTCAATGTAAAATAAAGTTAAACTCTTTGCATCTTGGTGTTTGTGATTATTGTACACTCTGCAGGGTTCAAACAACACAAACAGAAATCTGTTAGTGAAATTGATATAAGTGCATGTAATGGAAAGAATGTTAGATAAAAATAAGTCAACAATACACTGAAAGAACAAAGAGGGAGTTATGTTGCAGCTTTCACTTTTGAATCTGTCATTTAAAAAGTGTCATCTGTCACCTGTGACGTCTCCGCCCCTCCCCCACAGACTCATTTTATCTAGTTTGTTTCCTGCCTGAAAAGTAAAACATTTTGTCCTCCACTCTGTGCCTGAGCTTGCTTCAGTCATTCCCTCGTCACAGGCTGAATACAGTGTTCTTTATTTGGATGCAGATTCACTGCAATACTTGCTTCTTCTCGGGAACACGTTATTACATTCACATGCAAAAGTTCCCAAAAACAGGAGCCTGCAACACATCAATCTTAACAGAGCTTTTACTTTGATCCATATGAATGCACTTCTGGCTGTATATATATATATATATATATATATATATATATATATATATATATATATATATATATATAGTTGTCAGAGACTGCCCTTACTTCAGGCTGCCTCTAGAAATCCTCCAGATGTTCCTCAACAATTTTGAGCAAGTTCTGATGTAGCATTTCAAAAATAATGGCACTCCCTGTCATTTTCATTATTTAGCTAATTGTCTGTGTAAAACCCTAGATAAAAAATTCCACTAACATTTTATTGATTAGCTCTTATATTGTGCTGTTTTTTACTAAATGTTAAATTTAAAGGTTAATTAGTATATGTTATTATTAAATCCTCAATCTAAATGTGTGAATCTAAATGTAAAAGTTAAATCTGAAATGCATTTCAGAATGGAACACAGCCTTTGCTGTTGGTGCATGGCTTTTGTTGTGATGTCATCATCCAAAAAAGACAAAAGCAAAAAGCTAACACTGCTAATGTTGCTAATGCAGCTAATGCTTCTCTCCAAGACATCTAAAACTTTCAGTGATCTCATTTCGAACTAAAATTTTAAGTAACTTCTTCAGTAGCCTTAGCACTGTTAACGTTTGCTTTTGTCGCAGGATGATGACATCACAACAAAAGCCACACCAATAGCAAAGGCTGTGTTCCATTCAGAAATTCCTGAATGAAAGCATTATCATAAGCTTCATCATTTATCTGCAACATTTAAAACTTAATTTTTACATTTATATTTAGGATTTAATATTTAAACATGATTTAAATTGAACAATTAGTAAAGATTATCAAAATGTATAAATAGTGAGCTAAATAGAAATACAATGTTAGTGGAAATATTTTCACTGGGATTTTACACTCGTCTAAATAATGTAATTTTTTTAGTGACGATGTGGTTGTTTTAGTGGCGTCAACTGCAGAGGACAAAGTGTCAATTTTAAATCTATTGAAGTGTGGTTTTGTGAAAAGACAATGAACAATCATACTTACTTTACCTGACTGAAAATGGTTATTTGGAAGCACAAATAGTGGCAACACCTAGGTGTAACACTTAAGGGAGAGCCGGGGAAACCTCTGGCAGGTACATCCTAATATTTCTGCCAGAGTAACTACGTAATTACACATTGAAAATGGTGTAAAGGCCAATTATTTGTCATGTGCTTTTATCCTTTCGGGATTCCCCAGACGACTTAATCCCTATCTGCCCCCATTAGTTTTTTATTTTCTTGCTACCAAGATGTTTTCTGTTGAAGATCTGATCAGGACAGCACGTGCAGCTAAAGCCAGCTATTTCCAGATTGCACCTCACACCAGAAGTCCAGAAAGCTCTCTTCCCCTCATTAATACAAGAAAAAGAAGCAGTCCCAATGATAGATAAGTTATAATTTGGATGTCTGACTCAGAACCACAAGGGTACACACCTCTGATTGATTGTGTTTATGACTTGTCTGACTCCACAAGTCCCTGCTTGCACCAACATGACTGAGACTGAGTAATTTATATTGTGTTTTTGAAAATTCAGGAGAAAATAGCTTTGCCATTTATATTTCACACATTCCTAGAAATTAAAGAAAAAATGTATTATCACTTTGTAAAATTATGATTATAAAGAAAATACCCCCCCCCACACACACACACACACAAAAAAAAAAACCTAGCAAAAAGTATAATTTCAGAGTGTAATAATTTGTCAGATCATAAAGTAAATCTGAAATCAGTCAGGCAATAAATCACTCAATGACTTAAACCGTTGTGCATTCAGGCATGTTACGTACTTAAAAAAAATAAAATTGAACAAACACAGCAATCCATCATGTTAAGCTTTCTGTCCCCTCAGTCAGTAGCCTGGTTCTTACCAACTAAAACAAACTTGTGCTCAGTTATGACACCAGCTGCACCAGGAAGGCATCTAATCAAACTGCAGGCGATAATGAGCCAAGTTTTGTCTGTGAACAAGAAAAGCTTTAAATCTGGCAACATTTCATTCTGCCTTGTCAATCAATCAATGATCAGCCGATGAAACGGTTGTCAGAAATGAACAAAAGAATTAGCAAAAACTCAAAAGAAGATCTGCAGACAGATAATGACAACAAAAAGATTTTATAACAGAGATGTCAACTAGAATCTGACAAGTGAAAACTACAGAGCTCGTCTGGTGAGGTTGAATAAAAATAAAACATAATTATCTTGTGGCCAAGCATAAGTGAATTAAATATAAACAATTACTCCAAGCTTAACTAGAAGTGACTTAAGCATCTAATCTAGTCCTTTATTAAAACAAAATGTAATTAATTCCAACCTTTTCATGTTAATAACCACTTTGGAAATGACTGCAATAATTATCTTGTGCTCACACATTTTTTAAAATCAAATGTCATTAGAGGGGTTCCACAGAAACATGTGATGAAGCAAAACTAGCACATGTAAGGAGGGAAATGGTTCAAAACCACTAAAATAAATAAAACATAAAAAGAAGAAAAAAGCACAGAGGCTTGAGTCTGTCATGAACTGAAAACTGCTGGAGATTGTTCTGGTTCTGATACCACCTCCTTTCTCAGGAAAAAGGAGCATCAGGGGTGGGTCAGCTTCAGGTCAGTCCTGGTTTGAGGTGTGTTGTGACTGAAGGAACAGGTGTAACTGGGTTTGGAAGGTTGACTGTGGAAAAGTACTGACTGAGTGTGAAACACTAGTGAGGCAAAGGAGAACACAAGTRGATGAAAGGAACAAACCAACCACTACAGCACGATGGATTAGTGGTCAGCACTGTTGCCTCACAGCATCCAGGTCCTGGGTTCAGTCCCTGCTTTGGACCTGGAGTCCATCTGTTTGGCTGTTGTGTTTGTTGCACGGTTTTCTCCAGTACTCTGGTTTACTTCTACAATAAATAAATAAATAAATAAATAAAATAAAATAAAAGTACATGGTAAAGTAAAACTAAATACTTTATTTGGAAAACAAAAAACGCTGTGGAGGCAGCAAACTTAGAGCAAGGGAACACAGGTAGACACAGAGGAAAGTAAGGTGATAATCCGGCAGRTAAGTGGAGAAAGGATACTGGTCATATAGATCAGGGTAAGTGGAAAGTGGGAGCGCCTGAGTGGACACAGGTGTGAGTGGAGAGGAAGCAGAAGAACACAGGAACTGGCTGAGGGAGAGTTTAAGAGTTTCAGGATCTCCATGGTCTGATTAAATAAGGGTTAGTACAGTATAATAAAAATGAAGACAACTGGACAAATATGTCTCGATAAACAAACTGAAAGAAGATAGGAGAGAATTTATAATTCTAATTAATGCACAATAAATGTCAGAGGAAGCCTGKTAATCYGCCCTGCAGTCTCCAAATCMTGAGGCTSCAGGTTCGRGTCCAGGTTGCGTCAAGAAGCACCTCTGACTGTGGAAACACCCTGCTGAAGGGAGCAGCCAAAAACAATTTAGTCACAACGAACCAGATTCTCCACTCCCTCAAGAAGAGAGAGGAGAAAAACATGAGGCCATGCCTACGTGTTTATAAAAGCAGAGAATCCATGGGACCTGCCCACCCACGTCCACATCAGGATCTGTGGATTCTGTCTGAGTCAGGAGCGACACCAGTCTGCTCGCTCCGCATGTTGACTCAGTTTTTTTCCCCTTGATCTTTTTCATTTTCACGACTTCCTCCAGCTATTTTCTTTTTATATCTCATATATGTGCCGGTGACTATTTGCTACTGATCTGATGGCTCTCACATCCCTGGTGCTGTTCCTGAYGCTGCTCTTCATGACCTGCAGTGGGCTTACAGGTTGGTCCAGATACTTTGCTTTTAATTTTAGTTTGGTTTTCCTCAGGTTATTACAGATGGAGGAAAAAGAAAAAGGATTGTTTTTGTCTAAGTAATTAGTCTCCACTTTGACACGAACATCCCAATACTAAGGGCTTAGGATTCTGTGAAAGGATGCATATCACCAGCTGTTTTTTTTTATACCAGAGTTCCGGATTAAATTCATCTTAAGAAAAATCAATGTAGGYATTTTGCTGAGACCTGGGAAATTACACTATGTTTAATCTCATATGATGTCAGAGTATGTGTTTGAATCACTCTCAGCTACTACTACATCCAATTTTAGCTCAATATCTGTATAATTCACTGAGTTATCCTTTTTTGTGTTGGATGATGTTGATAAACCATGGTGGTCATCTTCAATTGCATTGACTCCAAAAGCAAATCAGTTGTAAATGAACATCCATTGATTACTTCTTGAAAGTTTCATTAAAATCCACCCAGTGATTCATGAGATATTTTGCTAACAAACAAATACTTTTTAAACAAAGACCTTGTGCCATGTTTAGGACTATGTGGCGTTAATGACTCTTAGCTGCTGCCACATAAAACTGACTGAAATATGATTGTTTTTTCTGTTTGATAAGTTTGTGGCAGCCATCTTTATTTGGGTTAATTGAAATGCCTGAATAAGAATGCCTGACAGGGCAGTCTCAGCTACTACCACACCAAATGTTAGATCAATGTCTGTAAAATTAACTGATTTTTTTTATACATGTTTTGATGATTTTTAAGGTGAATGTGGCAATCGTTTGAATGGAAAAGGCGACCAGCAATTACTTTCTAAGAATTTTATGAGAAATTTTAACAGAAAACAAACACCCAGGCCTTATTCTTTATTTTTTGGGCACATCCTGTTCATTTTGCAGTGGACCCTCCCGAGGATCTCTCAGTTTTTGATTCCGGCCGTCTTGGATACCTGGATATCACCTGGAGCCCACCGAGCAGCCTGGTGAACCTAACAAAGTGCCAAATCCAGTACCAGCTGGAGTACTTCAACTCATTCAGAAACCAATGGGCTGTGAGTGTTTATTGTTTCATCACTTCTTGATCTGATATGATCTTCATTCACTCGTGCCAAAAACAATTAGCCCATGTCTTAATTGTGATCTGTTGCTTATTAAAAAACAGGAGCATCTCACTTCAATCTTAATAAAACATCAACTTAAAATGAATTTACAGCTGCACCTGGAAACATCTCGGTAAAGTCGTATGCAAAATTCACTTTTTAAAGCTTTTTTTTACTCAACTTTGGGTATGTACTTCTTAAAAAAACAATCCTAGGACCAAAAAAATGCACCCAGGGGCATATTTACTGTGAATATAAGTATTTTTAATGTATATTAACGACAAGTTTTATACTTCCATTATTTTGTGGTTTCACAAGCCGTACGACAACCCACCGGAACCTGCGTTCAGCCCCTTACCTAGCAACCCCTGGGTGAAACTCCACTTCCTCAATATAAAAAGCAGTCACGGTTGTTGTTGTGCAATGCGCAGCTCAGTTCACAGCTAGCCTCCAACAGGGCAATGGGTAGAGTGTTGGACCAGAGAGTGGGAGACCAGGATTTGAGACCGGCACAGACACTGTTTAATTATTTATTTATTTTCGTTCCTTATGAACACATTTTCTCATGTACCTCTATTGTTTAGCTTATTAAAGCCTTGTTAAAGCCTATTTGTTCGAGTTTCTGAGGTAGTTTGACCGCTGCTGCTCCCTGCTCTGGTAACAGCATGCAGAGTGAACATAGAGCAGAGGAGGGGGAAAAACGAAAAGAAGCTGGGACCACGACTCTGCCTCTGGGTCTCTCATATGGTTGTACAACGGAGCTTCTGCTATTATTAGCCATGCTAACGTAAATGCTGGCTTTGGAGGGCGGAGTAAATGTCAACAGATTTTTGGAGGGCGTTACCAACAGAGCTCATTAACATAAAAAGCTCTTCTGAACGGAAGTTAGAGCAGGCTGAACTAGAAAATGGGAAATTTTATTATCTGAGAATTATTTTGTGCATTAAATTGAATGAACATGGTCTGGATAGCCCACAGACATACCATAAAAATTTCTAGGACCCATAATTGGTCTCCTTTAAAATTCTGGATAAAGTTCTTTGGGAAGAAGCAAACTCAGGCTTGGCAAAAAAATGCAACAAGTTCTCCATTTTTTTAACGAATTGCCTTTGAGTGCTACATGTTTCAGAAATGTGCCAATGCATCATGAATGACATAATTTCTTCTGTAAAGCAGAAAACGTGTAGGACCCAAGCTCCTATTTTTTTTGTTTGTTTTATTCATTTTGAAAAACAAACAAAAAAAGAAAATCATGAATTAAAAATGGAAAGGAATTAACGGTTAAAGCCACAACCTTGCAATTAAAGTTTTAATGTTGCTCTGATTTATTGATTGATTTAATGCTGGTTTTAATACTGTTAATGTACTGTTAATGTTAATGCCTGACTCATAAATGTGCTCACCAACACTGGTTAATGACGCATGAAAGCATCCTGGTATATTGGCGATGAGAATTTAATAATGCACATCGGCGATGACAGACGGACTTTTAAAAGTTTCTGCAGCTCAATCAGTTTGAAACAACAATTTAAAAAGTGGAACATGATTCACAGCGGATCTAATGTCCCACTAAATAAAAGTCATGGTCTGTGAGAGTCTATGGAGAAATTGTGGACACATATTATCTTACCTGTTATGGATAGCTTTTTTTCTGTTTTTAGTTTTGTGGTGTTTCTGAATGTTGTGTGGTGATCTGTTTTCAGTGTTTGTGATTTTTGTTTGGGCTGACCACAGGAACATGCACTAATGTGAGCCAAAACGAGCCAATGTAACAATGGCAGCACATTTTTGTTCTTTAATAACATGCCTTTGTAAAACCTGAAACAGAGGTTGATGTAGAATAGAAAATTAACAAGAGCTCTAACACAGGGTTAGGAATGTAAATATCTGTTATTAGCAGGTGCAAAAAATAAGCAACTAGCTGTAGCACTTACTGCAGAAATAGCATATTTCGAAAAGAATGTCCATGTGCTGCAAAGCTGACAGAATTGTAAATGTTTATAGTGTTCACATAAATCACTCGGAGATGTTTGAAGTTGGAGTTGTTTTCAAATGGCGGATATCCACTTTTTGTTCTTGGCCACGCTGTCATTTTAGACAAAATTAAATATATTTCTACAAGTTGAGGTTGTTCAAATTTACATTGGATAATATCCTAATCTTTCCACAAAACTTATTTCCAAAAATGTAGTTTTTTTTTTATTTTTTCCTTTTGAAAAACAATATCTTCTTGTAAATTCCCTTTATTTTTTTGGCATGTCTGTGGATGTGTGGAATTAAGGGTGAAAGAAATGATTCATTGTATCTGCCAGATGTAGTGACATGTCTGGGTTGACAGGTCCTCAGGACAACAAAGAAATCCTACAGAGCTCAGTTTGATCTGTCGAAAGATGTCTCAGTGAGAGTGTACACCCTGATGGATGGTCCCTGCGCCGACAACAAAATGCAGATGAGCGAGAACTACACCCAACTGGTTCAGAAACCTCCCAGCACTGGTCAGTCCAACACGGTTGTGCTTTAAAAGATGTAGAAAATGTGTAGCAGAATACACTCATCTGGTTTCATCAACTTTCTAGGAATTGCGGACACAGAAGCCAAAGATTTTACATGTGTATTCTATAACATGGAGAGGGTGGAGTGCACGTGGACACGAAGCCTGAGAACACCGGCCGACTCGCAGCTAAGTCTGTATTACTGGTATGTAAAAAATGTAAAAAAAAATTCAGATATTTGTTAGTTTAAAACATCCTAATAACTGGAAAACAGACCCAGGCATCAATAAAAGATACCCACATAGCAAAATTTGTTTGGCCCAGTTCTTGCCCACACAATGCAGTAGCAGCCAGTCCAGATACAGAATGATGGCCCTTTGGTGGCCCAGATGTGGTTTGCTGAAGGTGGTCCTTGCATTGTGACAGTGACAGATTAGGGGACACACAAAGCAAACTGCAACTGAGCCATTTGTGGAATTGACAGATTTGGACCACATAAACCAAACTGCAACCGGGCCAGTTGTGAGGTGCAGGCAGGATAAACCCAGGGCGCAGGCAAAAATCCAAAGTTTAACAAAAGATTTATTAATAAAATAAAAAGGCTGGCAGGGCAGCTCAAAAACTCTCAGGAGAACAGGAACACAGA